AAAAACATACTGTGCCTGGAGTTCTGTCAACAAGCAATCTAAAAAGTACAGAGAGCACAGAAACGGCAAAAGACTAGACCTTAGGCGAGAAATTAAAAAATATATAGAAGCAAGATGAGGTCACCCTCTTAGCCATACTAATTACTGGAACTGGAGCCATTCCAAATATTGGTAGCCATATTTTGCTACCAATTTCAAACAATGGCCAACCGCTGCTAATTTTGCTTTCTGAAATTCAAAAATCAGTGGTTTTGCAAACAAGTCATCCCACATACAAATTTTAGGACTTGACTCCTAATTTTTAGGCTTTACCCTTTGGTCTGCCTCCAGCACCAGCAATGCTGAGAAATAAAACGTGCAATATCATCATCATCATCATCTATGTATAGCTAAAGATTGCACAGATTACAAAGTTAGACATGATAGAGTGGCAAAGTTAGTGCGCTGATCATTATGTAAAATATCTAACTTGCCAGCCTCCAAAAACCTGTAGGAACATCAGGTAGAGAAGGAGTCAGAAAATGAGGAAGTCAAGATCTTGTGGGATTTCCTGATCCAAAGTGATTGACACCTTGAACAAAACACACCAGACATAGTAGTGATAGAATGAATAAAGGTCTAGATCTTGCAGTTCTAGGGGATGCCAGAGCTAAAAATAAAGAATTGGAAAAACTAACAAGTACAGAGACCCGGCAATCGAAACATCTCACCTCTGGAAGAAACGCATTTCAGTGGTCTCCATAGTCATTGGGGTTTTGGGAACAATATCAACAAATTTCACCCAGTCCTATAAGCAGTTGCAGATCTCAGAAATCACACCATCAGAGCTACAAAACCTGGCAATATTAGAAACAGGATACATACTGCTCTGATATTTAACAGATACTTAGGTTTTTGGTTAAAACTTGTATCTGTTATATAATAACAGTCAATGTTTTTATAATTTTGATGGTACCTAGTGTTTTCAAATAATAAAAATAATAATACCTGGGAAAAACTGATGATTAGAGATCAGCACGGACCACTGGTTTGTACCCATCTCTACTGATGATACACAAAAATTCCACATGGGTATGACAAAAATTGAAGATCATCAAGAAAGAAACGGAAGGTTTGATTTTTGCTGCACAAGAACAAGCACTCCAAACAGTCATGGAAGCCGCCCTGAGTAGTCTATATGACTAGATGGGTGGGCTATAAATGAATGAATGAATGAATGAATGAATGAATGAATGAATGAATGAATTAGTGTAAATAGCAAATGTCGACTCAGCCAAGTAAAAGATGAAACTGTCACACCTCAACTGTGAATATTGAAATATTGTGCAGACAGACTACAAAGCTAGACACAACAAGAGTTGCAAAATCAATACATTGGTCATTGTGTAAAAAATATAATTTGCCATCATCTTAGAATCTGAGGAGACATCAAGTAAAGAAGGTGTCAGAAAATGACCAAATTAAGATCTTGTGGGACTTTCAGATTCAAATGGAGTGGCACCTTGAGCATAATACACCAGACATAACAGTAATAGAACAAAGAAATATCTGGATAATTGACAATGCAACATCAGGGAATGCCAGAGATGAAGATAGAGAATTGGAAAAATTAACAAACTATAGAGACCTGGCAATAGGAATAACTTACTTGTGGATGAAACACATTTCAGTGGTCTCCATAGTCTTCAGGACATTGGGAGCAAGACATATCTGTCATAAAGTACTAGTGAAAGACTGTGTCTTGTATTATTATTATTATTATTATTATTATTATTATTATTATTATTATTATTATTATTATTATTATTATTATTATTATTATATAAGTTGTGATACACATTGCATGCTTTCTAATTTTGGTTTAATCTTGTCTTTTGATTATTGATATCCTGTTATTTTTGAAATAATTATGTCTGTTTTGCTGCCATCTGTTGTGTCAGATGTTTTTTTAAATATAATGTAAGTTTTGGTTTTCTTTTATTTTATGTTTTAATGTGAGTACTGTTGAATTTTACTTCATGTTCATGTTGCTATATTGTAAGCCACCTAGAGGAGTGGCCTAGCCGCTAGATGGGTGGTGTAAAAATGTAACTAAATCAATAAATCAATACATAAGACCATACTGTCAAATGGACACTTGCTCACCTGCAACCCCTTCTCCTCAACACTCTCTGAAATTCCATCTCCAGCAGCAATTGAGTTGGAATCATACATCTGCAATACATTCTTTAACTTGTAAATACAGTGGTGCCTCACTTAACGATATTAATTCGCTCCAGCGAAATCGCTGTAGAGTGAAAACATCATAAAGCGAAAATAAAAAACCATTGAAACGCATTAAAACCTGGTTAATGCGTTCCAATGGGCTAAAAACTCACCGTCCAGCGAAGATCCTCCATACGGCGGCCATTTTCGGTGCCTGTATAGCAAGGAATCCATCCCTAAGCACAGTGGGGAGCCAATTTGAGCACCCGGTGGCTATTTTGAAGACCCAACAATCAGCTGTTTTGATCGTAGTAATGCGAAGAATTGGTTCCCGAAGCAGGGAACTGATCTTTGCAAAATGAAAAAACCCCATTTAAAAATCGTTTCGCAATGGCAATTGCGACCACAAAAAAATTGTTGTGTCGTGGGTTCGTCGTAATGCAGGGTAATCGTTAAGCGGGGCACTGTAGTTTTATGTGCTTGTGACCACAAGTCCACACTCTGTAATTCCATAAAATACTAGATAAAGTCCAAGAGCATGGAGATGAAATCACTGCTGTACCATCATGATAGATCTGAGCACCTTCTCCTTCTAAAGAGCACAAAAACCAAGGCTACATAGGCCCATGCTAAGGACAGAGGTTTTTCCAACATACTTCACATATTTTAGGGAAATGCCTTTATTTCATCATAGTCCTGGGCCATCTAGCTCAGTACTGTCTATGGTGGTGAAGGGCAGAGATCCTCCACAGTGTCAATCAGAAGACCTTCCTTAAAGATGCCAGGACTGAACATGGGACCTTTTGCATGCAAACTATATCCTCTGGCAGAACTACAGCTCTTGCTAACTGGCTTTTTGTTTTGAAATTGCACCATATTCATGATTGTGCAATACTTACACACACAAATGTCTGCTTCTTGCGCAATGAAACCTCAGCACTATGAAGTTAACTCACTGGCCAAAATTCTATTGGTATTCCAAACAAGAGTAGACCATGGAATGAATAGGGTTTATATATGTGTCGACTAACCATTCAGTAATTGTCAGTCTCCTCTAATTCTTATTTGCATTTGCATTGTATCTCACAGCTACAGTTATTCCTTCCTACATTTTCATCACATTCAAGTAGGACAGCCATGGACATGCCAACTCTTCACAGATTTCTTGGACTGCAACTTCCAGCAGTTCTTGCTACCTGGACGGTGAGCAGTGCTGCGAGTTGCAAGCCAGCACTGTTTGGAGGGCCATGCTTTGCCTATCCCTGCCCTAGGAAAAACCATGATCTAATGCAGGGGTCCCCAATCCCCAGGCCGAGGACCGGTCCCAGTCTGTGGCCTCAGAAGGATCGGGCTGCCAGGACAGATCAGCGGTGAGCAGGAGGTGAGCGGTGAGCCAAGCTGTGCCTCCCATCTGTGGGCTCCTATTAGATTCAAATGCTGATGATAATCTGACAGGAGGCAGAGCTTCGCCCCCCCCTCCTGCTGCTGCTAGATCAGCTGTCCCTGTGGCATTAGAATCTAGTAGGAGCCTGTGCTCCTATTAGGTTCTAAGCCACTGCTGATCTAACAGGAGGCGGAGCTTCAATTGCAGCTCATCTCCTGCTCACTGCTCATCTGTCCCGGCACAATACATATAATGAGCTTGATTCAAAGCTATCCTCCAACAACCTACTGCATAACAAGTATATCCGCCCCCCAAGTCCTTGGGAGAATGGTCTTCAGCTAAACCGGTCCCTGGTGCCAAAACAGATGTGGACCACTTATCTAATGCACCTGCTAAAGTAATAGTTTGTTGTAAATCCTCCTGTTATTTTCCCATCTTCCAGTAGAGGTCACTACATACCTTATAAAACAATAACACTGGGCACTATAGATTCAATATGTGTGTTATCCACCTGCTTAAAGAGTGCCATTGCTTCTACTATATGAAGGTAGTAGGGTTGTTATAAGGACATTTTTAGATCTCCAAGATGTTTACCATACAATATGTATTGTGTATTTGCTCCTTTGTCACATTAATAAAATGAGACACATTCTATAATTTCTCTCAAGTTTTTCTCTTATGGATGTGAAAACATAAAAGCTATGATCTTGGAAGCCATGAATTATTCATTCTGAATCATACGCACTGCCTCAACTTCAGACAAACAGTTAAGGAAAACAGAAGATCCAGCATTCTGCTTTGTCAAGTGTGGATTGTGAATGATATGCTTTTCTAACTTGGGGAAAAGGGGGAAAAAAAGTCATACTGAGAGGAGAGAGAATAAGAGAACACATTCCAGAAAAGGAAAATAAGTTTAATTTCATGAGGACTAGAAAATTCCACTTTAGTTGGGAAACTTTACTTACAAAGGATGCCGTACCTCAGGTAGCTCCCTGCGTAGAGGGATCTGTTTGCTGAGTGCTTCATTAAATCCATACATCTCAAGGCCAGCTACAGCCAGTTCCCCAGCATCAGTGAAGGTCGGAATTCCTTCCTCCTTTTGAAGAAGGGACTGAAACAGGAGGTCTGAATCTTGCCCCTGCTTGCCCTCTTCTTGCCTTCTCTGCTGCCTGATCATCCTGTATGCTTTCCTAGTTTTGTTGTGTTTTCTCTTAGTTGTTGGTGACTCTATAGCTACCAAAAGTTCATCTTGCCTTAAGGAGATGAAGGGTGACAGTCCTTCCATGGACAAATACTGCTGGCTGTCCTCCTGAGTATCTACCATTTCTTGAGGCTCTCCAAAGTCTACTTGGTACCCTTCTCTTGGGATGAAGTCTGCTGGCTGGGAGACTCTTTCCTTGTTTACATCTTTGGCTGCAAGGTTCAGTATTGTTACCATTAATAGGAAAAAGGCCAATACCAAGAGCAACAAGAAAAAAAGCAGTTTTCGTGAGCCATACCTACATATTTTCCTTAGAAACATAATTTCAACAACAAATTAGGACAGATGGTCACCTTAAAAATTAGTCATGTACATCTTCCACCTCAGTTTTCTGGTTTCATTACAACAAAATGAGCAGCAGACATATTTTCATCTTGTTTTCATCTTCCTCTTGGTACTTCATCTCTTTTCTGGCATTCAGACCATATCATCCCAGTTTCTTGAATCTTGGTATTTATATGGGAAAGAAACCTAAAAGACTTTTTTTAAAAAAAATCCACTTTGCAAAAGAGTGGCCTTTTACTATGATGCTGAATTTGAAATTATCCAGGGGAAGGTTGAGTAGAAGAGGGTGTTTTTAGTGGTCCAAAGAGTCCATTAAAAATGTCCTTGAGCTGAAGTGATTTCTTTTTAATCCAACCAAAGGAAAAAAACAACAACATGGTTTTCTGTCACATTTGAGTGCAACAGCAAAAATAAATTCCCAGTATCATCAGGAATACAGCAAAAAAGGAGACTTTCTGATGAAGCAAAGTTGATTGTTTTTCTCCCTCCAGATGCTTCAAGTTCACAGAGATCCATTTATGCAAACTACACAGTCTCTGAGTTGGTTTCACACATAAGTACACACTTTGCCAGACATAACAGAGCAATGAGTGTGTATATGTATGCAACCTTCTCTTGGTCCTAATGCCCTCACTGTTCTTACCCTATCAAATCAAAACCGTCCTAGGAGGGAAGGCGAAGCCTTGAAGCTGAAAAACCAGCTTACCTAAAATGTATTTCCTCAAAAAGAGAGTGTTTAGGAAGGATTTCTTCTTCTTCTTCTTCTTAAAAACATATTTTGTTTCATAACTTAAAAGTGGTTTTGATTCCATGGAACCTTTCAAAGGTTAATGAAAAACACACTATGGAAAGAATATCTGTGGCATTGCATCCATTTAGTGCCCTCTTTGAACAAAACTGGGGAGCACATGTAATTGTTTCTCCTTTCTTATCACAACACCATCCAAAGTAACTTAAACTGACAGCTGGCAAAGTTGGCAGCCGTGTGGAAATTTGAGTCCAGGTCTCCCTAGTTTTAATCTGTTTGGCTAATCATTATTCCACAAAAAGAGCAATTTTGTTTCTCTTGGAAGGCTTCCAATGCAAAAACTGGAATCCATCTTACTATACAGAGCAAGATTTGGTGATATGGACATCTAAGTATGCAATACAACTGAATAACCATCAAATGTTGTTATTGCAAAACTCTTCCAGAAATCATGACATCAGTAACCACTTACTTAATGAAGTGTTCCCTCCCTGTCACACCATAGCCATTCAAAAATATCCAAAAAGTATGATCCTCTGATAACATCTACAGAAAGTGCAAACGAATGGCATGAGAGCACAGGCTGCAGTAGTCACCTAACTTATGGATATGGATCACATGTCTCAGAGAATAGCAAAAGAAGAGGAAATTAAGCAATAAAGCTTTCCATGGAATGAAAATGCACTAATGAGACATCTCTAGCCAACCTTAGTATGTGCGAAATAAAGGTATATAGCATGTAGTCTGTGAGCACCGGATATAGTCAAAGGCTCTTGGTCGAGGGAATAACTAGACTATGTGCAGTGATTTAAGCCACATGCAACATGCATGTATTCAATCCCAAATGGCACAGTTAAAAATTCACCAGAATTTTAAAACAATATTTCTGTAAATCAGGGTTAGGAGGGAGGAAGTCTACAGGACGCATGCCCAACCACCGCCACCATTTCAGTGGTGTGGTGGCTGAGGAGAAGAATTTGTCTTTCTTAGAGTGATATTGCAATCCTGAGAAAGCAAGCCCTAAAATAAGGCACTCTAGCCATGTGTCTTGGCATGTGCAAAAATGCTAGTTTTGTGGAACAAATATGGTTTCCCCTTCCCAAATGCCTGTTGCTTCTGCACTGGATAAATTTTTGTGGCACACAACCACAGAAAGGGGTATTCAGCCCTACCAGGATCCAGGAGGATAAAAATGGTGTCTGTGCCCTGTGACATGTTGCATGTCCCTCATATAAATGAACGAGAATCTCTCCCCCTCCCAATTGTTATCTGGTGACGTAAAAGCCCTATTTGGGCTTTCTCACTGGAGTAAAACAAGCAAGTAAGCAAGTGCTGAAGTCCTGTCCAGTTATTATCACTTTACTCTCAAAAAGTGTGGACTGTGGGGGAGGGTTTGCCACGTGATTTTGAGTCATCACTTTTTACATGAATAAAAAGGACTGCAAACTTATTGAAGAGTAGATCCCAGTAAATACAGTTCTAAGTACACATGTTTACTTAGAAAATTCTCTAAAAACTCCTAAGAAAATTCTACTGAGTGAACTTGCAGAGAATTACATTGCAGAGGGAAAGAAAATTGTGCCATAACAGAAGAGTGAATCTGATTTACATGAGGATTAGGCACATCTTCAGAAGTGCGGTAAATATCCTGAGATTTCCTCATAACTATGCATATATGCATGTGGTGGTGCTGTGGGTTAAACCACAGAAGCCTCTGTGCTGCAAGTTCAGAAGACCAGCTGTCGTAATATCGAATCCACGCGACGGAGTGAGCTCCCGTCGCTTGTCCCAGCTCCTGCCAACCTAGCAATTTGAAAGCATGTAAATGTGAGTAGATAAATAGGTACCACCTTGGTGGGAAGGTAACGGCGTTCCATGTCTAGTCGCGCTGACCACGTGACCACAGAAACTGTCTAAGGATAAAAACTCTGGCTCTACGGGTTGGAGATGAGGATGAGCACCGTGCTCTAGAGTCGGACACAACTGAACTAAATGTCAAGCGGAACCTATGCATATATACTTCAGCTTAAATTAGAGAACAACAACACTGGGATGTGTACAGATCATCAGAGCTGTAACCAGGGCAAGGTAGGAGGCCTTGACTCCAAGGTGCCATAATATATACGGTGCTGAAATCTAGAGGTGTATTTACCATTGAGTGTTAAATTGTGCCAATGAATCACACCTGCTCTCCATCTAATTTCTTTCTTCTCTTCTCTTCTCTTCTCTTGCACCTGTTCTCCATCTAATTTCTTTGTTCTCTTTTCTCTTCTCTTCTCTCCCTCTCTTAAGGTATAAACTTTTCCTTTATTTTTGGAGGGGCACCATATTCTCCTCCTCTTCCTTTTTTCTTGCCTGTGTGTCCTCTCTTAAGGTATAAACTTTCTCTTTATTTTGGGAGGGGCACCACATTCTCCTCCTCTTCCTTTTTTCTTGCCTGTGTGTGACTCACAAACATGCTTTAGGGTGGAGTGAGTGGGAGATGATGCCACTCTCCACAGGGGCCAAAATGAATAATTAAGGCTCTGCAAATCATGGACACATGTTGCAGATTTCTGTAAACCCTATTGAGATAAGCAAGATTGTGTACGTGTACTTTGTTGAGAGGCAAACAAACCATGTGGCTGATCTTGTGCCTTCCAAGGGTTCTGGATGACTAAGTAATACAACAATTTTTTCATTCTTCCCATGGCACCATGATGAATGTTTTGGAACATTTATTTACGGTGGTTGCTACTATTCTCTGCTCCCACATGATTGAGAGCTTCAAAAGTGCAAAGACATTTTCTAGAGCTTTGTTAATAATAAATCAGAACAGAATTGCTCTGAACACAATGTTTGAGGTTATTGGAGCTCAGTGTTCAGAATGCTGAATGACTCACAAGGACTCACAATGTATGATTGATTAAAAGCACAGAAGTTGCCTTGATGGGGAAGGACAATTTTATTATGTATGGACTTAAATTTTATGTATTTTGCTTAATGATTTCTTCTGAGTTGGTTTACAAAGAAGGTACTGTAATTATGCAATATTCGTTGTATTAGAATTGTTTTAGAAGAGGTAGCCGTGTTGGTCTGTGCAAGCATTTCAGGCAAAATCCAAAGAACAAAAAAAAAGGGGGAAAAACATGTGGCACCTTAAAGATTATTATATTTTATTAGAACAGTTTCCAGTCTTCAGTTAATGTTTCTGTGTTATACTTACCTATAGAAGGAGAAGGTAAAAATAATAATAATAATAATGACTGAAAGGTGTTACGAATGGTCTTGCATCATGGTTGATATAACTGTCGGACTATTTGGTGGCTGCAAGAAAGGACTGTACATGACAGACCCCAGTCCAAAGTGAGCCAATTGTGCATGACTGAGAAGATACAGTACAGTGATTTGACCAAAATTCGTGAAATTCCAGTTCTTGATTAACAACAACAAGAAGTAATTTTTTGCCTGACCAGTGAACAAAGTTCTCTGGGTGATGCAAATTGTTTTGCTGTCTCTGATTGTTCAGTAACTTCACTGAGAGATGACAGCAACTATGGAGCCTGAAAGTACAGATCTAAAACACAATAGGAGTGTTGGCTGTCATCTCAGCTTCCTTTGTACATACCAACAAAAAATGCCAGCCATGTGGTGGGGCTACTGAGACAAGCCAAAGCCAGAAACAACTAGAATTTGTTCTGCACACATCCAATTACCACTTTAAAACAAAATGGCCAAATCCTCCAAATCACCTCCAAGTAATGAATTAAAATAATGTCAAGTATTTATCATTACTCAGCCTATCAACATCACTGTCATTTAAGAACTGGGAAAATGTTTTGTTTTTTAAAATGATTGAATCAGAAGTTAATAAATTACTTTTCAATAAATTATTTGCAAACTCTGCCAACACCTGATGTAGAGGTTTTGCCTTCACAGATGGACTGAACATTTGAAGACATGATACAGCTACCAGATAATATGGGAACAGAAAGCCAACTGCATTACTGCATTGTCCAAAAAAGTGGCAAAATGTCTTAATGGAAGGAGGATTCTGTTGGCCCAAGGAAACAAGGAGGCAAGGAAAAATCTTAAATACTCTTACTCTATTGAGGCTTAACAGTATCATTACAGTTCTAACCAGGCTGAGAGTTTAAAGTATGTG